GAGTTATTTCAGTACCAGCCTGTGCTTGGGCAAAGCCCCTCTCCAAACCCGGGGGCCAGCCTGGGCAGCCTGTGCTATGGGAACCTATGCCACAACCGGCACCGACACGAGCTGCTGGTGGCTGTTTCAGGGACTACGGGTGGGCACCAAGGTCACAGATCATCAGGGGTAACATCATGGCTCGTGCACCAGAACCAGCATGTCGTGCTAGTTCAGCTCCCCATGAACGGAGTCTGAGGCTGCCCTTCCTCCTGCCCTCTCTCTTCCCACCCCACATGCTGCTGCTCCAGCTTAGGCACTGGGAAGGGGCTGGAGCTTGTAAAGAGCTACAGGCAGAGCCTGGGGGCTGGGGTGAGGGCCACTGGCCCGTGACCTGAAAAAGGTCCCTGTCACTGAGTTAAGTAGGTCTGCATTGCATCAGCGCTGTGCCTTGAAGAGCTCCGGCATGATGCTCTAAGAGGGAGCAATAGAGCTTGCTCTGGTGGGGCTCATTTACTCACTTCTCGTAGCAAAACTGTTACAGCTGCTCTGGTGCACTTCTGTATTAACAGGGCTTTCCAGCTAATTGTCATTTGAACTAGAGCGTAAATGGTTAGAAAGAGTTTTCTTGATTAAAATGTTGTCAGTGATGGGGAATTCAACAGAGCTCTAAGAAAACTGTTCCAGCGATAGCCTTGTTTTAAAGTCCACAACTAGTTTCTAGTAGGAACGCTTTATACACTTTATATCAAACTCTCACTCCATTTTGCCTTTGTCAGCTAGAAGAGCCTAGTAACAAAGTTTAATTGCTGCAACAAGTTAGCTATAGCAGTCTCTTAATTTTCTGTTAAGCTAAATTATCGAGCCAAACCCAGGGAAAGACTCAGACACAACCAGCTGCTGCAGATGTTTAACTGCAAGCTCCGACGCCGAAATCCAGGACCTGATGCTCCCTGTGGCACCGTTTAAACATTCATGGGAGCTGCCCGAGTGGCCACCAGGAACGACAAAGTAAAGAGGTGTGAGCTCCTCTCTTTTCCGCAGAGATATGGTGCCTGACCCAGCCAGCCAAGGAAGCACAGCATCCAAATTTACTCCTGGTTGCTCCAAGGGTATAATCCTTGGGTATGCCCCAAGAGATACAATCTTTTCACATGTATATTATCCTGGAGCCGGTCTCCTCATACACAATAACCTCTGCTTGGGGTATTCACAGAGGAAGTGGACTCTCAGTCCTTTCTTACCCTGATGGCACTCAAGGAAGTTCACCCTCTGAAGAGGATCCCTGCCCCTGCCTATGAACCAGGGAGAAAGATGGGAGAGGCGAAGGGCACCTGCTCAACATTTTCTTGTCTACACCTTCTCACTGTGTGCCAAGATAAGCAAACTTTGTTGGGCCAGAGCCAAGAGGGCACACAGTCGAGAGAGGAGTACTCGCCTGGGAGGCAGGTCTCTGCTCTGCTGCCAGGGCTTCTTATCTTTTTGGTATCACACGTAAATTGGGAAAAATTCAGCCATGGTTTTGAGAGCAAAACCAGACCTTAGGAGACCTCCTTCCTGTGAGTCTCCTGACCCATTAGGTTTAACAACTTCTTCCTTAGCCTCCCTCTGGCCAGTTGCCCAGCTCCAGTGGGAAGCATACAGAGGGCTCCTCACCTGGATGAACCAATGAACCGCCCCATGTTGGTGATGGCACTTCCGAAGGAATGCAAGAAAGACTCCAAACACCCCAACAAATGGAGTTGGATATGGGGCTCCCAACCCTGATTCAGCCAGACTAGCCCACAGGAGAAAGTACATACCGTGGCATTTCATGAGGGACCTGCTCCTGCGGACGTTAGATGTGGCTGGGACATGGTTCTCTAGAGGGGCCTTTGGGGACCTGATGCCCATCTACTCAACTTCTGGCTGCCTCAGGGGCTTACACAGTGGTTTGACACCAGGTGCTCAAGCCAGAGCAGGCAATACGCTTCAGCAGCACAGAGCTCGAGGCTCCATGGCTGGTAAAGGGACTCACATAGTGATTTCCAGTGGCCTCCATGAAGGGGAGGAATCACAATTTTGGACTCAGAATCTGCCTAAAACTAGCCTAAATGCTCAAAATCTGCTTTGGGTAACAAGCCTTTCACTGAGAAGCATGTTTTCCAGTCCTTTAATCATCTCACAACTTCACTCTGGTTCCTGACTGTCCTCCTTGAGCTGTAGACACCGAAATCAGACACACCATTGCAAACAACAGCTGTCACACCACCATCAAACAGAGCTGACACAAAAACAGCCCTATTTCTGACTCTTTGGCTGGACAATTCTGCCAATGACAGGGAACACCAGTCCTCAGAGCTGCCAGTCGAGGACTTTCCAGCACTGAAGGTGGCACACAAAGGAAAGAAACCTTCACCGGACACATACAAGAAGAAAGATGCACTTACCCACTCGTTCCAGGTCTCTGGGTCTGAGAGAAGCGCCAGTCTGTGTTAGGCTGAGCTTGCTGCAGAGAAAATAGAAGAGTTTTAATACCTCCATTCTTGCCTTTGAAAATGAAAGCGAACTGATCCTGGATTATTTCAGTCTGGAATATCAGCCTGTTCTTTCCAAGTAAAGCAAATCAATTAGAACAAAAAGAAAGCCCCCCAACCCCCCTTTCCTGAGTGTTTCTGAACCAGTATGAATGCTAAAAAGCATGACAAAAACTCTTCAGCGAATAATCTTCCAAAGCAGCTCAGGAAACCAGGCTGTAAAAGAAATGAAGCATGAAATAAACTGATAAGGGCATCAATCCAGCAGGAGCAATGGTACCAAAGTAATGAGCTTGGAGGAGGGTGGGGGTGGGGGTGGCAGAGTTAATTGATACTGAGAAAGATGCTTTTAATGCCAGAAGGTAAAATGATAACAGACCTTCCTAATCTGTCCTTCTTCTGTCCTTAAAAAGGACTGCCTGTGATCTTGATTTCACACATTGTATTTGAATGACTTTTCCTAGATGCTGTGGCCTCAGAACATTACAATATTTTTCTGTCCGCAGAGAAAAGAATGAACTTCCGACAGCAAAAGAAAAAAGCATTATTTGTTTAGAAGACACAATAAACTTCAGACACAGCAGCACACTTTGTAACTTCATTAGTAAGCCCCTGTATCGCCTTCTGCCCTTGTTATTTTACCGTCAGACAATGGACATTTTGTAAATAAGGAAGGACACGAAGCAGGCTTGCATATTCCTGTTTGAATCACGCCTTTGTGAAGAGCACTAAATAGCAGAACTATTTTCTGTCTGGAAGACACACACTTCCGAAAATCGTAATCTTCTTAATTAACTCCAGAATGATAACATGCTACCTGGAAAGGACAACATTTCTCTGTTACCTTAGGAATGAGCAGTTCATAGTCCATACAGTGGAACATCAATTTTATAGGATTATTCTGCTTGTACATGCAATTACTAAGGAAAAGTGAAGACGGGTACAGCTGACCTAGATTTTTATTTAGTAAATGTGATTTCACTAATTTCTCCACAGCTTTGATGATTCTCATGAAAGGATATATTAGAATAAATTACTCCCCTAAAATAGAGGCCCCACTGGTACCCGTGCTGCATGCAAATTAAGCTGTTTAAATACTTGCCCTCCAGATTTCAGATACACATTTTTGCACACGCTGACACACAATCCTGCACTAGATAAGCCCTTCCCAATGTATATTTTGAATTCCTGTTGTAATTACCACTTTCAAATTTAGGGCAGGCGTTTATGACACAAAATTACTTTACTTTTTATATCCCAAAGTTATAAAAGCTGCAGCTAAACACAGTCACCTACATCCATATTTAGAAATCCGAATACAAGTGGCTAAAGTTTTCAATGCTCGCCGCTGCCTAGGTCTCTGCAAGCCCAAGGGCACGTAAGGTCACCAGGATCTTTGCGAAAAACATCACTACGTTCCGTGCTGAACAGTGAATTCAGCCCCTCACTCAGAATGACCAAGCTGGAAAATGATCCCTTGCCGGAGCACAAGCAGTAATTAATAACACCTGGGAGTTAAGAAATGAGAAATTTCTACAATGCACCTCTAAAACAGAGCAAAAGAAACACCGACAAAGTTTGCTTTCAGATAACCTCCTCCCGTGTGGCAGTTCATATGCCATGCAGAATAAAGGGGTTAAACAGAATCAAGAAGTTAAACACCCAAAAAAACATGTTCCTGACCGTGCTAAGAATCACTTTAAAAAGAAAAGAGTACAAACGGGGCCAAGGGAAAACTCTCTACTTCTACGAACACGCAGTCCTTGATTTTATAGTGCCGCCCAGCCCCTTCCCCCACCTCCATCAAGCCAAGCCAAAGCTTTCACCTGCCACCTCCCAGGAGGTGACGGTGACACACGTTCCCTGAAGCTACCTTCTTAGGTGGAAGGACAGACAGAGAACAGCCAACTGGCCTGGATATTACGGACCGTTGCGCTTAGCAGACAGGACAGTAAGAAACACCCATCTCTTACCCCATCGCAGGGACTCGCTAAGGTGCTGGTCACCTGCTCATAGGCAGCCACGGTCTCCGCAGTGCTAGAATGGCTGAAAGGTTTTACAAAAAGGAAATCGCTCTGGTCAGACATGGGTGAGAAACAAGAGGTGTAATTCTGTGCCTGGGAGGTCAAGCCCGCTCCTCCCACGTCCAGGTATTTGATGAAGCCATCTGGCTTCATCTGCCCACGGAAATGGGAGGCAGGCTTGCGGCCAGTCCCTCGGCAGCAACCCACGAAGGTCCAGCTGGCAGTGCCAGCTTTGAGACACCGGGCAGCCACCACAGCAAACATCACGCAGGACACAAGGGAAATGGACACCAAGGAGATGATGAGGTAAAGCGTTAGGTTGGTATCCTTGGGAGAAGATTTAGGGAGGTCCAAGGACTTGGCGAAGTCCTGCACACTGTTTTCCTCCGGAGAAATGACTATTACCACAGAGGCCGAGAGGGACGGTGTCCCATTGTCCCTCACTTCAACCACCAGCCTGTGGGAATCTTCTGACTCCCTGAGAGCCTGTGCAACCCTTATCTCTCCAGAGCGGCGTTCCACTTGGAAAGGCAAAGCCTCAGCGGTCTCCTGCAGCTGGTAGGACAGCCAGGCATTATGGCCACTATCAGCATCAACAGCTACAATTTTGGTGACCAGATAGCCAGGTTCTGCCAAGGCCGGGATCGTTTGGTGGAAGGCAGAGCCCTTGGGGACGGATGGGTAGACAATGGTGGGGGCATTGTCATTCTCATCCAGGACAAACACATGGACCACAGCAGTACTACTCAGTGCAGGAGACCCAGCATCCTTCACCTCCACGGGCACCTGGAACACCTTATCCTGCTCGTAGTCCAGAGCTCTCACGGTGTAGACAGTGCCGTTGTCCTGGTCTATTCGGAAGTAGGTTGAGATGGGTACATCCTGCATCCCGTTGTGCAGGATGGAGTAAGACAGCTTGGCGTTGCTACCCTCATCGGGATCAGATGCTGCCACTGAAAAAACAGAAGTCCCAGGAAGGGAGTTTTCCTGAACGTGAGCTGTATCAAAAGGGCTGGAGAAATTCGGCGCATTATCATTCACATCAGCAATTCGGAGGTAAAAGGTTTTTTGCGTGGCCCTCTGTGGGGACCCTGAATCCACAGCCCTCACCGTGATGTTGTATCCACTGGCCTTCTCCCGATCAAGGGGACCATTTGTGACCAGCGAGAAATGCTCTTTAAAAGACGACACTAGTTTAAATGGGAGGTCTTTCGCTATCTGCAGACGGACCTGCCCATTGTCACCAGAATCGCTGTCCTTGACACCAATGAGGGCAATCACAGTGCCCGGGGTTGCGTCCTCCTGCACCGGGCTGGAGAGAGAGGTCAGCACAATCTCTGGGCTGTTATCGTTGATATCGATTAATTCCACTCGCAGGTGACAGTGTCCTTCCATGGCTGGGGATCCCTTGTCCCTGGCTCGAACCGCAATCTCATAAGCACTGGATTCCTCATAATCCAGCGGGCCTTTGGTTCTGATCTCCCCTGTCCGGGGATCTAAGGAGAACAGCTTGGTGAATTTACCAGGTGCGTTATTGCTAGTTTTGAAAGAATATTCCACGTCCCCGTTGGGACCTTCATCCAGGTCGGTGACATTCAACTTGGTGACCAGAGTGCCCACTGGCACATTCTCCTCCAGGTGTACCTTGGATATGGGTGGGTCACAGACAGGAGGGTTGTCATTTGCATCCAGCACATGGATGGTAACCTTGGCAGTGCCAGATTTCACTGGATTCCCTCCATCCAGGGC